TGCATTCACTTCACACTTTCAAGACAAATTTATACACACATTCAGACAAAAAGAATCACGTATTACAGACTGGCTTTCATATGTCTTTACATAAAATCATAGAAACGTGCCTTTCATACCTATATACGAATATGTATAAGTACTTGCCTACAAAAAGACATGGAATGTACTTTACAAGCAGGCAACTACTCATGTGTACACACTTTCCGCTTAAACAGACATAAAACTTCAATCATAAGTTTGTACAATTTGCAAACCAGCTAACTTTTAAATGCTTGCAAAAACCAGTTTGAAACTAATTAGAAGATACTGAGAACAGTTGACTAGATTGTAGTATCAAATTAAAAATTATTTAATTGCATATTCTTTTAATGGAAAAATCAAAAATTTTGGATGCTCAAATTATAACTCCGAACTCATATCAAGGTTTGAGTTTGTATCCATAACTTGTCTTAGTTTGTGTTCAGTCTTTCCCAATTGAATTTGCTCTAATTTGAATAACTGCTTTCCTTAAAAGTCGCAAATAAGTTTTCACCTGCTTTATTCGATGGTTACTCTGTTCTGTCGTATATATTGGCACACAAATAACAGTTTTCCCCCAGTTTCTAGGTCCGCTTTGATGAATATTTTCAAAATTTCTGTTAGCACAAAAAAGTTAATAGGAAATACTAAACGTTTTCTAGAAGCCCCGAAAATTGTTTCCTTTTTATTATAAAAAGTGGTATATGCAAGTCTTAGAAATGGCTGCAGCAAAATTAATCGGCACTTTTGGCTTTACCCACTTCAATTTATTAGCTCGTTCAACCCTTCTATAAAATCAAAGCTTTTGTCATAGATTTTAGACGTTTTTTCAGTCTCCTGTAGACACGGAAAACGGAAATGTCGAAATTTTCGAGCCAATTTCATTATTTTAGAGTTTTCAGTGTTTCGTAATTTTTCTTTGTTTTTACCTCATTTGGCTAAACGAAACTTTTCATTCTAATTTCGGTCAAATTGATTATTAATTTTTGCCTAACTAGAGGTGGCGGCCGCCGCACTTGACGAATTTTGCTTTCTTCGAGATTCAGCAATAAAACATGCATTTTTGAAGGAAATCGTTCACCGCAGCCAACAGTTAAGCTACGCTGCCAAAATCTTGTGCTTTCCTATATACCATATAGTTTGGTCGCATATAATAGGTATATAACGTCATTTTACATGTCAACAAACCAATACCCCCAAACTTTAGAAGGGAAAACATGCACCGACCAAAACTTAATTCCATTCCCGTTTCCACAACGTTCAGTGGGAATACTCAATAATATACCGAAGTTTTACATGAGGACTATTAGGTATAAAATTATACATGGTGACAATTAGGATTATTACATAGTGACCATTAGGTATAAAATTATACAGGGTGACAATTAGGATTATTACATGGTGACCATTGCTGATCATTTAATACATGGTGACCATTATGATTTATACCTAATGGTCATCCATGTATTACAACCCCCCCCCCCCCCCCCGATCCTAACGCACTATATGCATACTACTTGCTTAGACTCGTAATTGAACTTGAGAACTTAAAACGTTGAATTCGATAAAAAATATTAAACGTTGCATTCAAGTACTTTTTCAAGTACATAGAAAGTCAAACTCCACAGGTATGGAGTAGCTTAAACAAGCTTAAAGAAGTTGTCAGCGAGTTCTTAAACGGCAAGTTTCTCGAGTGAGCTACCTTTGTGCTAGCTCAATCGTAACCAACACGATTTGAGCGATGAAACAACCGAGCTTGAGCGATGAAACAACCGAGCATGACTCAATCCTCAATTGCTGATCACGAGCTGCTTGACGCTATCGGTGATGATTCAGAATACGATCACTTGATTTCTAGTAGTCATAATTGTTTCTGGTTTCAGAGTTTTGTCGTGTAGCCAATGATTGAATTGAGATTATGACGAACTCATTTTTATATCAACAGGTTATGGGCCCAGACAACGTTCGTGAAGCGTATTCGTTTTGTTTTACTTAGAATCTTACTTCGCTGGTTTTATTCAGTTACTTGGGTATTGTCTGCTGTTAATTTTTGGTTACAGTCAGTAACAGGTTGTGAACAGTTAGTTCAGAATGGAAAAGTCAAGAGTGTTCGATTTTCAAAAGCTAGATGGCAGCAATTACCGTGATTGGAGTTGGTACATGAAGTTAAACTTGCTGGACAAAGGTTTGTTTGATTATGTGGATGGAACCATAGCGCAACCAGAAGATGTTACTGCAGTTTCAGCGTAACAGCTTGAGGACAGGAAAGCACTCGCAGCAGTTTATTTAGCTGTTGAAGCTTCGCAGAGAGTCCATGTGATGGGGACAGAGACGTCCAAGGCTGCGTGGGACGCATTGTCAAGTCAGTTTGTCAGAGTTTCTTTGTCACAGAAGTGTAGACTGAGAAGAGGTTTCACTCACTCAATTTAGAGAGAGGAGGAGACGTTGTATAGCATGTCAATGATTTGAAGAATTTGCACGAAGAGTTGCGACAGATGGGACATTGCAATCTAGCAATGACATAGATTGGAAGCTTGCCACACAAGATTTCCAGTCATTGATTGTTTAATTGGATGTGATGGGCGAGAAGAAGATGTCTTTCGACATGGTGAAGAAGTTGCTAGTTTGTGGGGCAGACAGAAAAGCAGAAAGCAGTAATGTTCTAGATGCCAGAACAGCGATGATAAAGTTCAGTGGAAGATGCAACATTTGGAAGAAAGTTGGACACATGGCCATGAAACGTTTCCAGAAGAAAGAGCAGAAATTTTCGACTCGAAGAGGTGTCGAGTGTCACAATTGTGGTAAGATAGGCCACATTGCCAAAAAATGCTGGAAGAACAATGATGCGAAAGGAGGGCAGTCAAAAGCTGCAGTTGCAGCTGCCTGTGAGGAGGAGGAAGCGATAGCACTGAAGTGTTTGACGAAGCATAGCAAGGTTAGTGAGAGTAGTTGGATTATTGACTCAGTAGCATCTCAGCATATGACTCCGAACTTAGATCTTATCGACAATTACAAGAAGTACGACGTTCCACGAGAAGTCAACTTGGGCAATGACGCCGTTATCCGCGCTTATGGCTGCGGTTCTATGTCAGTCAAACTGGAGAATGAAGAGATACCAAATGTTCGGCTACACGATGTTCTCTATGTGCCAGATCTCAGCAACAGTTTGTTGAGTGTTCCGTCAATGACGAAGCGTGGAGCACAGATTTTGTTCAGCGGAGACCAATGTACTATCATGAAAGGCAGTAAAATTTTTGGAAAATCAGCAACAAGTGGAAATGTTCTGAGTAATGAAGTAGCAAGGTCCGAAACAGCTCAAGTTGCTCTTTCGGAGAAATCGATGAAATTGTGGCATGGACGTTTTGGCCATGTTAGTGTTCAGTCGTTGCCGCAAGCAGTGAAGCAGTTCTCGGGATGGGGAATGTTGCGCACGAGAAGTTCTTCTGTGAGAGCTTTGCAGATGGCAAACAGCACAAGACATCGTTTCCGAAGTCAGTTAACCAGTCGTCAGAGTTACTTCAAGTTGTGCACAGTGATGTTTGTGGACCAATGGAAACAGACTCACTTGGTGGTTCGAGATACTTCGTAACCTTTATTGATGGCAAGTCCAAGTATGTACATGTGTATTTCATGAGTCACAAGAGTGAGGTCACAGAACTGTTCAAGAAAATCTGCAACATGGCAGAGAGTCAGACGGAGAGACGAATCAAGTTTCTGAGAAGTGACAATGGAGGAGAGTACCGTTCGAAAGAAATGGAGAAGTTCCAGAGTGAGAGAGGAATACTTTGGCAGACAACAATTCCATACACACCAGAACAGACTGGAGTAGCAGAAAGGGTGAACCGAACAATACTGGAAATCGCGAAGTCAATGTTGTCATTTGAGAAGTTGGACAAGTCTTTCTGGGCGGAAGCAGTCCGCACTGCAGTTTACATACGGAACAGAATTCTTCCAAGCAACGACAGTGTTACACCATACGAGAAGTGGTTTGGTACAAAACCTGATGTTTCGAACCTTCGCATTTTTGGATGTAGAGCGATGGTGCATGTACCGAAAGAGAAGAGGAAGAAGTTGGACGCAAAGTCGAAGAACTGTTTGTTGGTTATCCCGATCACAAGAAAGTATACAAATTTAACGACAGTGTCACTAGGAGCATGGTTGTTAGTCGAGATGTCAATTTCTGGGAGAGTCAGTTACTTAAAGATAGTTTCCTTGTCACTGAACTGTCAGGAGAAAAAGAGTTTTCTAGCCAGCAGAAACATATTACGACAGAAATTGTACAAGATGAAGAAGTTGCCACGACAATACCAGACGATTGCAATGTCCCATCTGTCGCAACTCCTCGTGCAAATTCTTCAAATCATTGACACGCTATACAACGTCTCCTCCTCTCTCCAAATTGAGTGAGTGAAACCTCTTCTCAGTCTACACTTCTGTGACAAAGAAACTCTGACAAACTGACTTGACAATGCGTCCCACGCAGCCTTGGACGTCTCTGTCCCCATCACATGGACTCTCTGCGAAGCTTCAACAGCTAAACAAACTGCTGCGAGTGCTTTCCTGTCCTCAAGCTGCTACGCTGAAACTGCAGTAGCATCTTCTGGTTGCGCTATGGTTCCATCCACATAATCAAACAAACCTTTGTCCAGTAAGTACAACTTCAGATACCAACTCCAATCACGGTAATTGCTGCCATCTAGCTTTGGAAAATCGAACACTCTTGACTTTTCCATTCTGAACTAACTGTTCACAACCTGTTACTGACTGTAACCAAAAATTAACAGCAAACAATACCCAAATAACTGAATAAAACCAGCGAAGTAAGATTCTAAGTAAAACAAAAAGGATACGCTTCACGAACGTTGTCTGGGCCCATAACCTGTTGTTATAAAATGCAAAATTATTATTGTTCCACTACAATTTCATTTTGTCTGCCCTATGACAATCTCTAATTAAACGAAGTTGCCGATAAAACAATCCAAATTATCAAAATCTCACTCTTGTCATTAACAATACAAAAAAAAACTATTCAGTTACGTGTCTGCAAGATCATGTTGATCAAAATATTTCGTTATTATTAAAATGATCAAATTAATAGCTGCTAAGTTTTTTGTGATATCCATATCTTCAACCTCAGAATTCAGCACAGTTCTAAGTTGCCTGCATAATCTACAGAGCTGACGCAAAGTAAAAACTGTGTCTGGATTAACTGGTTTTTCTAACACTGCCAGGAGAGAATAAATCCATAGACAATTGGAACTGTTCAACATATGCTTTTTGTCGCAATCGGATTTCTCATTAGGTATATTGTCGAACCATTCCAGGTGCCAAGCAAGCAGACATTCCACAGCTTTTTGCGGGAGGAAACTCATGAAAGACATAACTGGTTCTCTGATTGGTTGGTCACTCTCCAAAACCTGTTCGTTTCTTTCATTCAAAATTTCAGTTCCGCAGTCACTTTCCGCGCCATCACTCAATTCATTTTCAGTTGAATGAATACTTAAATTGTCGAGCGGTGTACTGAAATCAATAAAAAAAAATTATATTTTGAAAATCTCTTAGCGATCAAGAAAAAGAGATTTTCCATAATTCTGAACTTAACAACTTACGCATTTTGGCTTTTCTTGGCTGCGCAGTCCTCTTTAAGTTTCGTATACCACGGTCGTTTTCGGAATGTCCTTGGAATTGCATCAATGTCAATCACAGAGCACGCAAATTCTTTGCCGTAAAGCTCGCAGCACCAGATGAACTCGTTATTAGCACTCGGAATATTAGGCCCACGTTCATTATTCTCTTTAATGTTAGCTTTTGTAACCTCAATATAATGATGAAGCATTATGAATTGTTCTAATTGTTCAACCTGCCAGTCTTCTGATGGTACATTTGCAGCAGTAGTCTGAGAAAAATTTATGGATTCATCATTCAGAGTAGCATCAGGATATTTCATTGCTTGTGCAAAGACTCGCATAGTAGGACCCAACTGTTTTTTGAAGCCATTACTGGGCTTAAAAGCTGTGGGAACTGCAATAGCTACTTCAGGTAGATTTTTGGCTTCATTCATGACACTTCTCAAATAGCTAGAAGCTGATGTAAGACCAGTGTCAACATTTGTTTCATCATCATCACCATCTATGGGCGCTAAGGCTACTGATTGGAAACATTCATCTTCGAAGAACTCTTCAGTCATATCTTAAACAAAAATGTGAAATTTCTGTCAAATGGTCAACTTTACAGATATAATTAACAGACAATTTTAAGCTTAAATTCAAAGAACCATAACAATAGAAAACAACAAAATTGGAATGGGTAGAAAGGATGTGTTGACAATTGAAAACATTCCAATGAACTAAGAAACCGAAAAATAAGAAAACGGTAATTGATAGCAAAAATTCGCTCTGATAAGTTTGGTCAAACTTGGTTGGAAAACCAGCTAAACTCGAAAATTTTACGCCAACTCTGAAACAATCGCCCAAATTAATTTATCCCTGCTCTGTTGGGGCACCCGTGTAATCCCAATCTTCGTGACATTGTGACATTCGACCAGAATGGCCAAAATGCAATTTATGCAGGATTCGAATTTTGAGCAGTAAGCCTTCCGAGTTGATGATTTCGAAGGATTAGCGACGTTATTGGAACGTTTAGCCAAACGGTGAGGGCTAGAATATTCTAGTATTTTAAATTTTCAAAAATTCGAATGATGACGTCACATTTCTGAGAAATGCTGAAACGGCCATTTTAACAAGAAACGAGTGAAAAAAGAGAACAACTTTTATCTGCGATTGCGAACAGTACGAAAATCGAGATTGGAAAACGACAACGAACTACAGAATAGCAGAGAACGTTCCGAGTTGCAACTATTGTGCTGCTACAATAGTTGCAAGGCCGTTGCCAACAACGGTGAAGGGTGAGAACCAGCCTTCCGGATTAGCGAGAAATCAAGAGTAAGGAGCTTGATTCAGCGGATTCAAGAATCCGGAAGGGTCTCGGGACGGAAACTTTTATTAACTCACATAAACTTTTAGTATCCTGTCATGTCCTGACTTGAATTTAACTGATATTTTGATTAGTTTTCACAAGGATGAGGTGCTAGGAGTTGGGGGAAAGGGTTGATCCATCTTCGATGGAGATGATGGTTTTTATCTACTGAACAAAAACAATAGTAATATAATAAGTAGTAGCCCTGTTTTTAGGAGTGACCTCGTGGTCTGGGGATACTGAGACCCAGCCATGAGCTCACTATTTTTGCATGTAATTCAGTTAATTTGAGCGTTCTGGTCGAAGCCGGAGAGCAGTAACGTTTTTGTCGACCCGATGTAAGAAAGACCACCGAAAAGTACTGGCTTGGTAGAGACGGTGAAAAACATGCAAAGCTCTGTTTAGACGCTAGCCAGTCGTCTTAAGACTTAGTTTTGTTATCCGTCGATATGTATCTTCCGGGCGAATGTTACATGTATGTTTTTATGGCGCTCCTGGGTGTTATTCTTTTTTAACATCATGACCGGCAGAACCGTTAACGAGCACTCCGCGCCGAGCGGATGCTCACATTAACGCCCTTAATAGGCCTAAACCGCCGGGGCGGAAGGGTAGTTCGGAACGCGGAGGCCTTCCGAATTGCCGTGAATAGTTTTTTAACCTAGTTAAGACCGAAAATTCACGAACCAGGAAGGGTGGGGGGATCGGCCGTCTCCTCATCCCCTGAGTGGTTTGTGACCAAAAACACTTAAAGATATAAGCAAAACCAAAAAAAAAGTAGTATAGTACCAAAGAAAAACAAAAAACATAAAAAATAACCGAAAAAACCAAAAACAGTAAAAAAGTAAAAAATCAGTAGAAATCATCCCCCCAGACAAGATGTGATTCAACCCCCCCGTTTGTTGTTGATAGATATATTGTTATTACAGGCATTTATATCAGTCAGGATCGTTACGATCAGTTTTGTAGCCCGTTTGTGAGGCTTGTACTGTAGGGTTATTTGAGCATTTAAGCACGTTAATGATAAATTCCGCTCAATCCGGAAGGGTCAGCTGATTTGCGCTCAATTCGGAAGGGTCTTGGGTGAAGACCGATCCGGCAAGCAGTTCAAGGAGCAACAAGAAGGGGCTCAACGACAACAACAATCGACTGTTGGGTATCGTTAACAAGTTTTGTATCCCTTTTGGTACAAAAAGTAAGATAGTAATCTGTGGGGGGCTCGACAGTGCTGCACTGTAGTGACCCTTCACCGAACTGCGAATATCCGAGTTAAGCACCTTAATTCGGATAATAAACAAACCCGGAGGGGTATAGTATTACTAATATTATTACTTATATAGCCTATATTAATAGTCTTATATCGTTTTTCAGTGAAAAACAACGAAAACAGACCGGTTTTTAGGGTCAAAATAGCGATATTTTGATCCCCCCACAAGTCGCGATTTTTGAGATATCGATATTTTTTGAAACGGAAAAAATCGCTAAGTTAGTGTGTTACATCGTAACTGCACTACTGTAATAAGTAGAACCGGTTAACTTTAGTTCGGAAGTGGTTGGAACTAGTTTGGTACCAAAAACCAAATTTTCCCAATTTTTGATAGTAAGAAACACTATAAAATCAGAAAATTTTTTGAAATCTTTGAGTTAGGACAGTAAAAATAGTTGTTCAGACAACGTCCACTAGTGAATCTACGAGTTTTAAAACCCGCTACCCGAAAGCTTTCCGGGTTGCAGAGAAATCGAACATAACGTGTTTGATTTGGTGGATTCATCAATCCGGAGGGGTCCAGGTAGCATAGTTTTTCGCAAATTTTTTCTACAAAAGCGTTTTAGATCGGGTCTTTTGCATTGAACTAGAAGAGTATAGGCCTTGTGAGCTCGGATCAATAATTTTTAGGTCGAAAGGACCAGATATGCGGAAAAAGTTAGGCGGAACCTATAAGAGAGAAAATTTTTTGAGTTTGGAAAAAAGACATTTTGGTTAATAACTTTGGAACTACAGAGCATATCGAGTTGATCTTGATACCAATAGTTCAGAAATTAGCGGAGCTTACTAATAGGATCAGAAATTTTTCGGAAAAACGAGCGTGAAAATTTTTTGAGATTGTTTTTAGCAAATTACACAAATCCGGACGGGGTACACCCTTCACGTTTTATAAATTTTTCTGAAAAACCCTTATACCCCTACCAAAAGTTGATAGCGATTGAAATAAGTAACTTAGGACAGTTCTAGACAAAAAGGGAAGGCTGAGGGCACAAGACAACCATAATAAAGTCGAAGTTAGGCAAGTGATAAGACCCTTCACCGTTAGTGTGAATTGTCAAATAAGTGCCTTAACTTCAATCCGGAGGGGTCTAGGAAAGGACCCTATACCCTTCCCAGTTAATTCAAACAGCATAAAAGCAACGCAGAACGTATCCGGAGGGGTATAAGCTGAAATTAAGAAAACTACAAAAAGCTACTTTGACAGAGCTAAGGGCTCCCAATCCGGAGGGGTCGAAATTTTTCAAAGTCAGAGGGGTCCGAATCCGGAGGGGTCTACTTTCCACAAAACCGGAGGGGTCCGAATCCGGAGGGGTCTTATAGTTGCTAATTCCGAGGGGTCCCAATCCGGAGGGGTCTATATTCTGACAGTCCGGAAGGGTCCTATTTGTGCCAATCCGGAGGGGTATCATTTTATTAAGGACTTAGGTAAACGAAAGAAAGACTAAAAAGCGAGAGGTATTAGGTTATTAATACACAGGCTAGGTATCAGTGACTGCACTGGTAACTTGCCTCTCAAAAAGAACCAGACTAATACAAAACAGGTCCGAACTCGGATATTCGCGACACTAAGTCTAAATTAAAAAGAGCGTGACTCATTGGTGTGGATTGAAACATAATACGTTTTTGGGAAAAGTGACTGCCCTGAGGATTTTAGTAGGTCTAGCTCGGGCAGTCCGAAGGCAGATAGGTAACACAGTACTCGGTGGGTGCAATAGACGCCCACTTGAGAAAATTACTGCCTTCAAAGTTTTGTCTGTTTGGTGCAGCACCAAGCAGGGAAAGCTTTTTCTTCAAAAGACAGGTTCGACTATTGTACTGCGACCGACTAAGAGTACAAGACTTATACGTTTTTTTATATATACATTCATATTGTGTCAATATATATTTTTGTTTTTTGATTTTAAATCAACGTAAACTGTGCTTGATTGGGTAGTGACTACACTATCTTTTAAATTGACTGATAACATCATATTGTGCTAGTTTCCAGATCTTTGGACCGATAATCGGCTAGTGTGAATAAATTTTATACAAACTGTACTCTGACAACATACAGGGATTCGTGGTCACTATTTAATAGAATCTGGTGAAATTTATTGTGTTGTGTCATTATTATTTTTAATAAAACTATAAGGTCTCTAGCAATTGAGTCAAGAGTAGGCATAGGAAAGTGACAAATAAAGAATGAGTTTAGACAAGTCAAGGATACCAAAACGAGGTAATAGCTCTAGGAAATTCATACCTGAAAAGCAAAGAAAAACGATGACCGATCCTTTTGTGGATTGGATCAAGCGAACCCGGTCCGATAAAGAGGGGACGGTTTCAGGCAGAATGGTTGAAACGAGAAGTCAAAAGACCTCAGAAGAGCGAAGAGAACTGTTAGAAGTGGAGGTCAATACGGACCATACCATGAACGACAACCAGGGAGTAAATGGACTGGAAGGGAGAGGCAGAAGGCTGGCGAGTGAATCTACTCCGGTAGAACAAGGCCATGATTTTGCCACTTCCACCGGGACGTTGGATCGAGAGGAGATGTCGGAACTGTCCGACATCTCAACTGAAGTAACGGCAACTAGAAGATCTCCGACAGACAACACTATGATGGCAAGCGGAACTGGAAAACAAACAACCTCATCATCGTTCTCGGAAAGAATGAAGAACACCTTCGGAAACATCTTTCCATTCAGCATGGGAGGAGGAGCAGGAAACGATGGGGAGTCCCAGGAGGAAGAGGATGAAGAGGAGCAAGGGGACTTTGGATCTCAAGTCAGTCTCAATAGTTCGATCCAGGAGAGTGAGGCACACGTCGGAAGAGAGACTGGAACCATGGATAAATTTGGTGTAGTGACAACGATAAGCAAAGAGGCAAACACACCGGGCCAGTCAAAGGACTTCGCGATTAGGACAAGTTCGGAGCCACAACCTGAAGAGAGTAGAACCAGAGGGCTTGGCAACGCGTTAGCGGATCCTGAAA